CTCCTCCTCCTGCCCCCCCTCCTCCTGCTCCGCCTCCTCTTCCTCCTCTTCCTCTTCCTCCTCCTCCTCCTCCTCCTCCTTCACGGGTTTGAAGACGGTCCAAGTGGTCCCCAAGCTTTTCCCAAGCGAACCGAAGACGCTCCCAAGAGGCCCCCAAGATAGCCCGAGAGGGCGCCAAGACGGCCCAAGGGCCGACTAAGACGGCTCCAGGAGGGGTCTAAGAAGTGGAACTCCAACTCGAAGCTTGCAGCCTTTCGCCCAAAGAACCTCCCAGGGAGGGCCCAAAAGTCCCCAAGGGCCCCAAAAGGTCCCCAAGAGACCCCCAAGAGGCCCAAACGAGGCCCCACGATGGCTCAACACGGATAGGACGGCCTCCAAGAGGTCCCCCATAGGGGTCCGGAAAGGTCTTCTTGCGGATTGAGGCCCGAGCGAGACCGGGACTGCACCGTGTCTCATCTGCGACTAGAACCTAAGCGCGCGCGCGTAGCGCGCGCGTGGTTATAGTATAGGTATGTGTATATGTAGATGTAGATGTATGTGTATATGTATATGTATATGTGTTTGTACATGTTTATGCACACGTAGGTGTTTATGTATTTATACAGCATGTCTGTGTATACAACGTAATTGTAAATGTACATGTATGTATACATGTGTATGTTTGTATACATTCATGTATGCATGTATGCGTGTATGTATACATATACATACATCGGTGTGTGCGTGTGTGTATATATAAAATCACAGTGCGAGGAAGTCTCAGGCAAAACGCCCTGCCCTTCCTACCGACACGTCTGGGAGTGCGACAGGGAATAGTTATGTATAATGAGGGATGGATAATGATGCGGATGATGATGATGATGAGGAGGAGGAGGCGGAAGGATTGAATGATGATGATGATGATGATGCTGCTGCTGATGATGATGATGAGGAGGAGGAGGAGGAAGAGACAGGAGACAGGAGGAACAGGAGCAGGCGGAGGCAGAGGAGGAGGAGGAATACTTGAATGAGGAGGAGAAGGGGAGGAGCCAAGAGAGAAAGAGAGAGGGAGGACCATCTCTTGGGCTCGTGGCAGCCTCTGCCGCGGTCCCGCGCCCGCCGCCCGGGCGGCTGGGCGCCGCCTGCGCGGCGGGCTGCCCCTGCGCCGCGCCTCGGGCGGGCTGGCCGGCGAGCAGCCGCGCGACGGCGAGGAGGCGGGAAGGGGGCAACGCTAGGGGGCGAGGAGAGGGGGGAGGGAGGAGGAGGAGGAGGAGGAGGAGGAGGAGGAGGAGGAGGAGGAGGAAGAGGCGGAGGCGGAGGCGGAGGGGGGGAGGGAGGAAGGGCAAGCTAGGTGCGCTCGCGTCATATGGGACGTCCTACCCCTCCCTTCCATCCCTGATCATGGCGTAGATTTCCTCCCGATTCGCACCGTCGGATGTGGTGGCAGGGCATAGCATTGCATGGCATAGTATGGTGTTGAAAATCAACGCGTGGCCTGACACAGCATGGCGTTGCGACGCCCCAGAGTGGGGGGGGGGCCTCTGCGGCCCAAAAAATCAACGAATCGGCACCGAATGTGTAACCACTTCCGATGGTTGTTTCGGGGGGGCATTTTCTATATGTAGGGGCCTATTTGGAAGGACCGAAAACCATGCCGTGGCATGGCGCTGGAAATAATGACGCCAGCGTTGCAGCGGGAGCACGATTCGGAACGAGCAGAAGCGCGGAAATGAGGCCAGCGCTGCAGCGGGAGCACAATTCAGAGGACGAGAAGCTTGACATGATTTGGCGTGGCGACGCCCCAAATTGGCTTCTGCGACACCAGAAATCAACGAATCGACACCAAATGTGGAATCACTCCCAATGTTTTTTCCCAACCCTCCTTGGTTGGGTATTCGTTTTGAATAGAGCAGTGTGGTCTCCACTCCCTCATTCCTCCTCCTCCCTCCCTCCCTGCCTCTTCCTGTCTTGCCTGCGGGGGGCTGCGATCTGTGAAACTGTCGCCATTTTCGAGGCCTGCTGGGGGGCCCAGCACAGTGAGGGCCCCGCGCAGATTCAAATTAGACCTCGCCATCCCTGGGGGGGCTGCGATCTGTGAAACTGTCGCCATTTTCGAGGCCTGCTGGGGTGAGGGCGACGCGCAGATTCAAATTAGACCTCGCCATCCCTGGGGGGGCTGCGATCTGTGAAACTGTCGCCACTTTCGAGGCCTGCTGGGGGGCCCAGCACAGTGAGGGCCACAGGCAGATTCAAATTAGACCTCGCCATCCCTGGGGGGCTGCGATCTGTGAAACTGTCGCCATTTTCGAGGCCTGCTGGGGGGCCCAGCACAGTGAGGGCGACGCGCGGATTCAAATTAGACCTCGCCATCCCTGGGGGGCTGCGCTCTGTGAAACTGTCGCCATTTTCGAGGCCTGCTGGGGGGCCCAGCACAGTGAGGGCCACGCGCGGATTCAAATTAGAGCTCGCCATCCCTGGGGGGGCTGCGATCTGTGAAACTGTCGCCACTTTCGAGGCCTGCTGGGGGCCCAGCACAGTGAGGGCGACGGGCGGACCCAAATTAGACCTCGCCACCCCTGGGGGGCTGCGATCTGTGAAACTGCCGCCATTTTTGAGGCCTGCTGGGGGGCCCAGCACAGTGAGGGCGACGCGCAGATTCAAATTAGACCTCGCCATCCCTGGGGGGCTGCGATCTGTGAAACTGTCGCCATTTTCGAGGCCTGCTGGGGGGCTCAGCACAGTGAGGGCGACGCGCAGATTCAAATTAGACCTCGCCATCCCTGGGGGGCTGCGATCTGTGAAACTGTCGCCATTTTCGAGGCCTGCTGGGGGGCCCAGCACAGTGAGGGCGTCGCGCAGATTCAAATTAGACCTCGCCATCCCTGGGGGGCTGCGATCTGTGAAACTGCCGCCATTTTCGAGGCCTGCTGGGGGGGCCAGCACAGTGAGGGCGACGCGCGGATTCAAATTAGACCTCGCCATCCCAGGGGGCGAAGCGGAAAGAAACAGCTTGCTTTCCACGAGACGCCCCTCATGCCTCGTGAGTTGCTCTCAGGCCCTCGATCACATCATCCTCGAACCGTTATTGTTTCTGGGACCTCGCCGCAGACTCAAGTTAGACCTCGCCGTCTCTCAGGGGCTGCGATATGAGATCCCCGCTTTCGAAGTGGCTAGGGGTGCTCAGGGATTGCAACTGATCAGCTTTATCAAATCCTTGTCCTGTAGCCAGTGTCCTGCGAGTCTCCCGAATTCCGTCTGCAGACATATGTAACCTTCGCTCCGTCATCGCCCCTTTATCAAGTTTCCTAAACTATTGCACCCTGCGTTTGCGCAGGGGTTGGGTACGTCGCCAGGGTAATTTTCGGGAGGGAGGGGGGCATGTTTCGTTGGAACCGTGTGTGTAAGAAAAACAGTACGCGGAGGGGGCCGAATATTTCCCGGACGTCACCAGGGGAGAGAGGAGAGTAGTTTCATAGTGTGTAATTGTGGAGGAGGAGGGAGCAGGTAGAAGGGAGCAGGGAGCAGGGAGCAGGGAGGAGGGAGGAGGGAGGAGGGAGGAGGGAGGAGGTGGGGTGTGGTGGGGGGGGGGGCGGAGGAGGGAGGAGGGAGGAGGGAGGAGGGAGGAGGGGGTTGGGGGGAGGTGGAGGAGGGAAGAGGGAGGGAGGAGGGAGGAGGGGGAGGGGAGGGAGGAGGGAGGAGGGGAGGAGGAGGATGGAGGAGGGAGGAGGAGGAGGAGCAGGAGCAGGAGCAGGAGCAGGAGCAGGAGCAGGAGCAGGAGCAGGAGTAGGAGCAGGAGCAGGAGGAGGAGGAGGAGGAGGAGGAGAAGGAGGAGGACTTGAAATGATGTGGCTTAAGGGGCGCCTTAACCCCGTACCACTCGACGTGAGAGTACTGGTGGGCTTGTGTGCCCATTGTAACCTTCGCAGGCGCAAATTTGCCTTCGCTGCGAGGGGGTATGTTCCCGTGCTTCCCCATCGCCCGGTTCCACGATGCAGCATTTTTCCGCCCTCATAACGGCGACGGTCTGCCGACGCATGCCCATCGGCAGGGGCGGGCATCTTCGTTAATTGCGCGGTGGGTCATGTTGTGAATAATGTAGCCTCATTGCCCCTCTGCCGCGCCTGAAGCATGCTAAGCCATGTTTCCGAAGTGTTGTCCGATGAGCGTGGCCGAGGTTCTACGCTCGAGGGGACACGAGTTGTCCGCCAACTGCTGTGCTGATTGGCGAATAACCGCCCTGAATTTCCGCCCCGCGTCGCGCGGGACTCAAGCGGGTCACTCGCAACTCCGCGAGCCTACGCCATCGCCCCCAACCAAGGGCCGTCTCATGTCACATGGGACTTGGCTAGTGGCGTGCGGGTCGCCCGCAGCGCAGCGAACTCACGCCTTGGCCTACGCGGTGCCGTCCCGCGTCACACGGGCCTCGGCTGGTGGCATGCAGGTCATCCGCGCCTCAGCTGACCTACGCCTTGGCCCACATGGGGTCGTTCCTGCGTCACACGGGGCCCAGTTAGCGGCATGCGGGTCGCCCGCAGCCCGCGAACCCTTGACCTTACGGCACCGCTCCGCATTACGCGGGACACCGCTGGCGGCCCGCGCATGTCGCAGCAACTTGCACGCATGGCGCCTCGCAAACATCACCGCGCGGAGACTATCCGCCTTCTGGGGTCCTGTACAAAACGTGCCGCCGGACACTTCAATGTAAATGCGGGATACCCGTAGTGGCATTACGTTGCCGCGCCCGCAACGGCACGATGGCCGAGCTTCGGCCATTTATGCGGACCAGTTCCTCGGATGCCTAGTCATGCCCTCGTTGTGAGGGCAGGATGCCGATGAGTCCCCCGGAGATAGGGGCGGGCCTCCTAGCTCTAGGCTCCGTAGCCATTTGGCTCAAGCCATTTTGGCTCAAGCTCCAAACCTTGCCCTGAGGCTTGGAGCTTGGCTGCTGCCGCGGGGCAGGCTTGAGAGCCGCCCTCGGTCGACAGCTGACCTCGCGTGCCACGCGCGCGAGAGATGCCGCCATACCTCGCGTGCTCTGCTCGCTGCGATGCCGGCGCCGTCTCTCGGATATACCTCGCCAATCTCCGCTGGACCGGACGTACTGCAAGGCGCAATTCCTAGGCCGTTCCCCCCAGGACAAACACAAAGTACAGGACCAAGGACAAGGCCAGGGACGGACGAAGGCCAAGGTAAAGAAGGGGAAGTCTCGTGGGGCGGCCGATGCCGCGGGAGGGGTGGCCCCCGTGGCTCCTGTGCCTGCCGCCTCCGCTGCTCGTCCCTCCTCTTGTGAGCCCGAGCACTCCAAGCAGCCTTTGTTCTATGAGCAGTTCATGGATGCCCCTTTGTCTGATGCTGTTCGTGCACGCTTTGGGTCCGATTTATCTGATGAAGTGTTCGGATGCGCGGATGATGCGTTTGATAACGATGGCCCCTTCGCTCAGCGCGGTGGCCCGGTGGCCTTTGTTGCCGACCAAGGAGCCCTCATCAAGACTGAGCAGACTTATCTTGAGATCCTTCGAAGTGTTCCTGCCTCTGTTCGAAATCAGCATGAGAAGTCAGCATGAGATTGACTTCAACCTGGGGAAGGGGCAGCCAAACTTTGGTCATGGTCGACACTCTTGGTTCCTGCTGTCGATCGACGTCGCCAGCTGGACAAACGCAGAAAGTTATTTGGCTGCCCGCGCTCGCCCCGTTCATACAGTAGGTCTTCAGGAATTGCGTCGTTCTGGTGAGGGTCTTGATGCTGCTACAAATAGTGCGCGCTGGCTGGGGCTCCATGCGCGCATGCGCCCATCCATACGTGCGTCTGAGGGTGGATTGAGCTCTGGGGTTGCCCTGGTATCTCAGTGCTCCGACAGCTTTCCGGACATCCCCTTGGGCCTCACTGTGGCCTTGCCACCCCCTGGACGATGCATTATTAAGCTCTGGCGCGGATAGGTAGACATGCGTGTACGTTGGCAACATATTTTTGTGCACGCTGGGGAAGGGCATGGGCTCAGCGTCATACTCGACCGCATGTATACGGGGTGCGCAACCATTCTTGTCAACAGTGTGCATGGCGCATGAGTGTCCTGGATGAGTACGCTTCATTACGTGGTTTGTTTGTTTGGGCCCTTTTCTGGGACATTCAGAAGGCTCCTGGGCTGGTTTGTCATCCTTTGCTCACCCAGCATTGACATTTGCTTCAGTCCAACCCCGCCCTCTTGAGGGCATT